TAGCGCAGATAGCCCTCGTGTAGCTTTGCGCAAAATTCAAAACAAAAAGCAGCTCCTGTGTTGCCAAAGGTAGTTCAATGTAAGGACATGCCCCCACCCATAGAAAATTAATGTAATAATAATTTAAAGTTGCTATATAAAAGTGCTTGTGCTGCAATACCCCTGATTCCGACGCCTCTGAGAAGAGAAGACAAATCTGTTACGCGGTAATTGTAATCTAGATGAATGGTATGGAACATGAACAGGTGTTCCCAATCTTTAAAACATGGTTTAGAAATCTCCTAAATCAAAACAGTATTTTAAGTCTTTCCCCCTTCGCAGTGGGAGTTCTACCAAAGATTTATTGATGCTTTTCAGTTTTGTTTTCGACCGGAAATAATGGCAATCGAAACGAAATCTCAAATTTTGCGGTAATTTTTCTTAATACAAACTCCAAAACATTTTTACGACAGGTATTTTATGTAGTTATTGACCAGAAGTGACAATATATAACTTAATCTTCTCCCGAACTGTTACCACGACAAAATAACTCCATTTTCATAATACTTTACATCAGTGTTGGACTAGACCGTTATAGGATTGAATTTATTACCCAAGTACTTTTAGCTACGGATTTATTTAACGTAGAATACAGAGACGACAAGCAGAGACTGGAAACAGAGACGACGAGAAGATAGAGTGGAGGCATAAATGACGAGGCTAGGGCTAGAGACAACTATGACCAACAGAGATTGGAAGCAGAAATGACAAGCTGAGAGACAGTAGAAACAGAGACGACGAGAAGATAGAGTGGAGGCATAAATGACGAGGCTAGGGGCTAGAGACAACTATGACCAACAGAGACTGGAAGCAGAAATGACAAGCTGAGAGACAGTAGAAACAGATACGACGAGAAGATAGAGTGGAGGCATAAATGACGAGGCTAGGGGCTAGAGACAACTATGACCAACAGAGATTGGAAGCAGAAATGACAAGCTGAGAGACAGTAGAAACAGATACGACGAAACAGCGATGACAAGCATATAGATAATGACAGCCACGACAAGCTGAGAGTCGAGAGAGCAATGTACAGATAATGTGGTGTTAGTCGTAAGCATATTAATCTTTACTTATATCTATTACAATCCTAAAATAAATATATGTGAAACTTGATATTGGTTGAAAACACGTACTAAGTTTGTTTAATTTATTTAAGTATTTCAGCAATATTAAAAGATTCTGTATTAGGACATTCACGACGTCATCGACGGAAATGACTGAAGCAGGTTCATGCCGTTACAGAGTAAAATAAAGCTCATTAATGCTGCGCTCATTGTTCGTGACTGTCATGGCGTCCGTTTAATACCGGTACTGTGATTGTTAATACAGTTAGGTGCAGTATAATAAGCGTATTGTGAAAAACGTCCGTTATTAAATATATGATAAAAGTGCGCCCATCAGTTTTTTCGAGGAATTTATGTGTATGCGCATTCGCACTTTTTTCACTTTGTGCACTGAACGAAAACAGATTTGTTGAATAGTATCACAAGGACTACTTCTGCTTTCTGTCTTAATTTTGGAGACAACGTTCCGGGGTCTTTGCGCCGAGTTTTTCATCACATCTATCAACTATCAGATGGGGATGCTTCTAGTTTGACGCAGTGCATAAAACCACGGACATTTAATAAATTGTGATGCAGGTCAATAAGCTCTTCCGCTTATTTACAAGCCTTATTATCTTCGTAAGGTCCACCCCCACTGGGTCAGGAGTTAGTGTGCTTTACATGTAATTAAATGGTTCGTTTGGTACAATAAGTGTGCAGTTTTATCTGTTTACATGCTATTAAATGGTCTGTTTGGCACAATAAGTGTGAAGTTTATTATATGTTTACATGTTATTGAATGGTGTGTTTGGCACAATAAGTGTGAAGTTTATTATATGTTTACATGTTATTGAATGGTGTGTTTGACACAACAAGTGTGCTGTTTTATTATATTTTTACATGTTAATGAATGATGTGTTTGACACAATAAGTGCGCAGTTTTATTATGTTTACATGTTGATTGGTGTTTTTGGCACAATAAGTGTGAAGTTTATTATACTATTAAATGTTGTGTTTGGCACAATAAGTGTGCAGTTTATTATATGTTTACATGTTATTGAATGGTGTGTTTGACACAATAAGTGTGCTGTTTTATTATATGTTTAAATGTTATTGAATGATCTGTTTACACAATACGTGTGCAGTTTATTATATATTTACATGTTATTGAATGGTGTGTTTGGTACAATACATGTGCAGTTTATTATATGTTTACATGTTATTGAATGATCTGTTTGGTACAATAAGTGTGCTGTTTTATTATATATTTACAAGTTATTGAATGGTGCGTGTGACACAATAAGTGTGAAGTTTATTATATGTTTACATGTTATTGAATGGTGTGTTTGGCACAATAAGTGTGCAGTTTATTATATGTTTACATGTTATTGAATGGTGTGTTTGACACTAAGTGTGCTGTTTTATTATATGTTTAAATGTTATTGAATGATCTGTTTGGTACAATAAGTGTGCAGTTTTATATGTTACTAAATGATCTGTTTGGCACAATAAGTGTGCAGTTTATTATATGTTTAATGTTATTGAATGATCTGTTTTACACAATAAGTGCGCAGTTTTATTATATGTTTACATGTTGTTGAATGGTGTGTTTGACAAATTAAGTGTGCTATTTTATATACTATTAAATGGTGTGTTTGGCACAATAAGTGTGCAGTTTTATTATATGTTTACATGCTAAAATAGCACACTTATTGTGCCAAACACACCATTCAATAATACTATTAAATGGTGTGTTTGGCACAATAAGTGTGCTATTTTATATACTATTAAATGGTGTGTTTGGCACAATAATTGTGCAGTTTTATACATTACTAAATGAGGTGTTTGGTACAATAAGTGCGCAGTTTTATTATATGTTTACATGTTGTTGAATGGTGTGTTTGACACAATAAGTGTGCTATTTTATATACTATTAAATGGTGTGTTTGGTACAATAAGTGTCCAGTTTTATACGTTACTAAATGATGTGTTTGGTACAATAGGTGTGAAGTTTATTATATGTTTACATGTTATTGAATGATGTGTTTGGTACAATAAGTGTGCTGTTTTATACGTTATTAAATGGTGTGATTGACACAATAAATGTTCAGTATTATTATGTGTTTCCATGTTGTTAAATAGTCTGTTAGACACAATAAGTCTGCAGCTTTGTATATCTATGTATTTACTTTCATTAAAAGTTTGTACTTATGACAAATTAAAAAGAAATTAAAATTGCTTGGTTGCTTTTCGTTTAATGTGTAATAAGGGACCTTATTATTTATTATTCCTCGAGCCTTACCCAAGCAGCGTAATTATATATACATTAACCAACTTTGTGCTACCTAGATGTTCAACATTTTGTATTATTTATAAACTCTTGATAAATTTTGATTTATGATAAGTAGTTCAGAATGAAACTATGCTATTAAACTTTTATTTTTATTTAATCTTAAATATAAAGATGTTCTGAACTCTTTAGAACTACTGTACTGGGTCTGATCCCCTTTAGAATTACTATACCTTGACTGATCCCCTTAGAACTATTATACTAGTTCTGATCCCCTTTAGAACCACTGTGCTGGGTTTTATCCCCTTTGAAACTATTGTACTGAAGTCTGATCTCCTTTAGGTATGAAGAAGGCAGACCAGTGTTCTGTCAAAACATGTAATACGCCCCCCCCCCAAGAAAAAACAAACAAATCAATTCATTGTGCTTATAGATCATTGTTTGTCAACTTATAATTACTGTACTAGGCGTTATTTCCTTTAAAACCCCTGCACTGATTCTTATACTTTCTAAAACTACTCTTCTGGTTCTTATATTCTTTAGAATTACTGTACTGGCTCTTATTTTCTTTAAAACTACATACTGGTTCTTGTATTCCATAAAACGAATGCACTACTTCTTGTCTCCTTTAGAAGTACTGCACTAGTTCTTGTTTCCTTTAGAAGTACTGCACCGGTTTTTATCTCCATTAGAACTGATGCACTGGTCTTTGTCTTGTTTATAACTACTGCACTGGTTCTTATCTCCTTTAGAACTGCTGCGCCAGTTGTTATCTCATTTATAACTACTGCACCGGTTCTTGTCTCGTTTATAACTACTGCACTGGTACTTCTTGTAAAACTACTGCACCGGTTCTTGTCTCGTTTATAACTACTGCACCGGTTCTTGTCTCGTTTATAACTACTGCACCGGTTCTTATCTCCTTTAGAACTACTGCACTGGTACTTCTTGTAAAACTACTGTACTAGTTCTTTTCTCTCTAAGAACCTACTGCAGTGGTTCTTACCTCCTTGAAAACTGCTTAACTAACTCTGTTCCCCTTTCGAATCATTGTATGAATTCTAACTCCGTAACTTCAGAATTTTTGTTCTGGAGACTGCTGTATTGGATATAATCCGTTTAGAACTTACGTACAAGTTCGAATACCTTTAGAAAAACTGTGCGGGTGTTTAATCTTGCCAACTGTATTGTTTGTTTTTATTTATTTTTATAATTTAATATCTTGAACTTTTGCAGGAGAGGCAGCTTTCGGATACTTTATACGAGAAATCTGACGTCGAGGCTCACAACGTCGAACTTCAGCACCAAGTAAGCGAGCTAGAACGGGTAAGATGAGTAACATCTTTTGAAAGCTAGGTACTGAAGACTTTCAAAGTGAGTGAGTTAGAAATATAGGTTAGTTCTTGTAGAACGAACCCCTATGTCTGTCCGCTAGATTTTTGTGCCAAAACGGTTTTTTTTTGTCTCATTTTGTTGTTCATGAAGCACATAATGAAAAAGCATTAAGTTCTATGTTTTTGTGAACGTTTTTCGGGTTTATATGACCGCCATATTGAAAACTGGCTGCTTGATGCCAAAATGTCAAGTTTCCTCGAACGTTAAAATAGTAACAGGTTTATTTTCACTAATTTAGAGATATGTAAGCTGATATGAGACTGCTATATTTATTCAAATGCATCAAAACTAAACATTAAATCGGTCACGAACCTCATTTTCTAGATGGCGGGTTACATTCCATGACTTATTACATCTACCCTCTTAGATGACATGAAGATTTACATATATTTTGTAACAAAACATTTCATGGTTTTTTGCCCATGAATATGGCAACCAAAGCAAATTCAATGCAGTGTGTTATCTGAAAATATTCAGTGTGCTTTCTTAACTTTTATTGCATTAATGATTAATTTCATGTTCTATGGGACGTTAGGTCATATCCTTTGTCTTTCAATGATCTTTCTCTTCGAGAACCTACCAATCTTTATCTTTGTCATTAATGTAAACATATATTCTCTTGTGTTATTTGAGTCATCCAGTCGTTGCCCTTTCATAGTGCTGAGCAAGGAATGTTGTTTCTAACCCACACATAATTGCTTTTATCAGAATATTGCCCTTAACAACCACATTTGGCGAGTTAGATCACTGCTTGTAGAGCTGGCAACTGTCATTGCAACAACTTCTCTTTTTGCTGTGGCTTCCCATCCATTTTCAGAAAGGGGTTAAAGGAGTGGTCGTTATGTTCTGTAACCTTTGCTTATTTCCGCTATCAGATTGACTGTTTGCACGTTGGGTATGAGCATCCAAGCGTTGGGGTGACTTTTCCGCCTACACATACTTGATTCTGAAAAGCTTCCATCTTAACTTACTCGCTTTTGTTATGGAGCTTGCGCTAGAGTTAACTGAGCAAATAAATCCTTCGATCATTTCCAAGTTGTCAATGGGATCAAATATTTCTTCCACAAACTGCTGAAATGTTGTGACAACCCCGTTATCGGGGCCCAGAGCTCAGGCATGGCATTATCCATTTCTTTTTTTGACACTCCAAAGAACTTTCTTCTCCAGACAGACAGCTCCATAAAAAGCATGGAGACCAAAAAATTCCCTGCATTTCTTGTAGTCAATCGCAAAACACTGGTTTGGGATGTTTATCTTCCTATGAGAGCTCCCTTTACCAGTAACAAAGGTAAACATTTCTTGAAGGTGGTTGTTTGAAAAGAGATATATCAATGTCCAGAGAGTGTAACGAACTTCTTAACTTGGCTGGATGACGTGAAGTGGGGTAAATGTGTCTGAGTGTGCTGTGAGATAACCGAGATGAATAGGTTAACATATGTTGGTGTTCCACACACGGCAGTTGGAGCGAAGTCATTACCATTAAACGTGTGTCTCAATGTGTGGAAGTTTGATAAAAAACTATTTGATCAGTGATTTATATTTTCTTTTTTCTTCTTTTTACCTCGAATGGTACTTTAAAAATTATGTCAGTGTCACTCTAGGAGTGTGGTACAAAATGTATCACGTAGAAATATATGTTTGTGTTCAAAGAAATGGCAGCATTTTTGAAAATTGGATTCCAGTCATATTATAAGTTGCATAATTTATAATCTTTGGCTAAGATCACTTACGCAGAAAAGTTTTAAGTTGGTTTCTATTCCCAACTGTGAGCTTATGAATTATTTTATAGGTTAATAACTTTTGGCCCGAAAGTCTAGTGAGAGCTATAAATGTTACATAGCTAACTATATTAAAACTACACGAATATGAAGCTACCGCATTGTTCAGTTGATTTCAAGACTAGAAGTTGTCCTGTAAACAGATTCTGATATTAAACCTGCACGAGTATGAAGTTTCCACGTTGTAAAACTGACTGCAACACTAGAAGTTGCCCTGTAAACATATTCTGATATTAAACCTGCACGAGTATCGTGCAGGTTTAATATCAGAATCTGTTTACAGGGCAACTTCTAGTGTTGCAGATAGTTTAACAACGTGGCAACTTGAGTATGAAGTTGCCACGTTTTTAAACTATCTGCAACACTAGAAGTTGCCCTGTAAACAGATTCTGATATTAAACCTGCACGAGTATGAAGTTGTCACGTTGTTAAACTGACTGCAACAATAGAAGTTGCCCTGTAAACAGATTCTGATATTAAACTTGCACGAGTATGAAGTTGCCACGTTGTTAAACTATCTGCAACACTAGAAGTTGCCCTGTGAACAGATTCTGATATTAGAGCTGCACGAGTATGAAGTTGCCACGTTGTTAAACTATCTGCAACACTAGAAGTTGCCCTGTAAACAGATTCTGATATTAAACCTGCACGAGTATGAAGTTGCCACGTTGTTAAACTATCTGCAACACTAGAAGTTGCCCTGTAAACAGATTCTGATATTAAACCTGCACGAGTATGAAGTTGCCACGTTGTTAAACTATCTGCAACACTAGAAGTTGCCCTGCAAACAGATTCTGGTTTTATCGATTCATTAACAAAAAAAAAAACACTTTTTTTTCAAAGTTCCTAATTTTCAGAGATCGATGATAAACCGTTCTTTTTTAAAGTAAGCCTTCGTCGGGGTTTAGCAGGATACCCCCAGTGTGTTATTTGATTTTCGTCATCTGTAAAACTAAATAAAGTTTTCAAGCTTGGGTGTTCACAAACATCATGCTGTCAGATGAGCGCATACGGCAAATGGAAGCCCATGTGTATTTATAATGCGTAATTTTTGGTGAAGTAAGTCACTTAGGCTATGCAATGACTTAGCTTTTATGTGTAAAGTTTTCCGTCTTTTGGTTATAATTATATCTATACTAGCAGCGTTGCCCGGGTTTTCGAAAAAAGAGCCCACTCTCTGTTTCTCTGTTCCATATTGCTATAGGTAAAAAATATTTTGTGAATTTATGAAAAAAACCACCACCTCGGGTTTAATTTTTGAAAATAAACTACGAACCTGTTTTAAATCAGGGCTTCCTTATGAACTTTTTTTTCCTTCACTGGTAAAGATAAATAGACCATTATTGTTCCCCACTTTGAGCATCCTACGTAGAATTGTCCATGTGAGAAACATGGTGACGTCAATTCAAGTCCCACTACTTTCATATAATAGCTCTGTGCTTTGTTGATTGACATCACAAAGCTTAATTTGACTGGGAACTGCAGCCGTTTGAATTTGAAGGGAAGATCGGTTGAAATTAATGGGATGAAAACACCTTTCTCAATGTTGTTCCCAGTAATAATTTTATTTTATAGGCTAGGCCTACTGTTTGCTTTTACACACATGACGTTTTAATTGTGCATACATTTCCTTTGTGTGTGAGGTTAAATATATGAGGTATTAGTAAATGTATAGTATATAATATATAGAATGTATAATCCTTTTTCACACATGAGGTGAAATAAATGATGTATTAGTAGATCTATAACTAAATAGGCCTGTCTATTCTAATGCTATATCATAAATTAAATGTTAACTCAAAATTACCAAATAATATCAAGTCTGCGTAGAATCACAGCCACGAAAGCATGTTAACGATAAGATTACCGGTTCGGCTGGCATACGATAGACGCGTATATCAAAGAAAAATTGTCGTTTTGCGCACCTTCACGTGAGGGAAGTATGACCTGAGCAGTGAACGCGGCGGACAAACAAGCAAGCAAGCAAACAAACGGTGATTTTGAGTTATAGAGAGAGAGAGATTGGGGATAACAGTATAAAAAACTTTCAGGCTCCCAAAACGGTAAAAAAAATAGTCATTCTATAAACAGCTTATGTTGTCGAGGTTCACAATAATACTGTTATACTAAAAATATAGCATTCTTAACCAAAATTTTAATTACATTACTCCAACCTCCACTCTTAGCTTTTGATAAAAATATTGTTATATCAAAGTTGCTAAGGTTCTGCAGGAGCTTCAGTAAATATAACTAATATTAAACTTTTAGTCCATAAAATTTTGTTGAGTGGGTTTTTCAAACATTTCACTTCTTTTTTTTTTTCTGAGCATTGTAATTGAAATCGTGTATAATAAAAAAATTAATTTCATTATTGTTTTTCTAGGTAATTTTGATATATTTAGCTCATTTTATTAATTCAATCTTGACACTGGAGAGGTTTATATAAAGATAAGACAAAGAGTTATCTGTTGTGAATTGGGCAACTGAGTTACTTGGAGACACTGATCAAATGTGGATAATTTTTAAGAATACATTTTTAAGTGTCCAAAATAAACATGTTCCTTTATAAATAAAAGGGCAGCTGCAAGTAAAAAAAAACTGGTTGGCTCACAAAGGGTATGAAAGAAAAATTAAAGAAAAGAATCACAAGTTTAAGAAATTTAAATTAACTGGTAAGAGAGAGATTTAAAACATAATAAAAGATCAAGAAAGTTGGTTAAACAGGAAATTAGGTGTTGTTAGCTGTGAAGAGGATGCTGCTGCTTTACTAAAGGATTTCGATCATTCAGTGAGTTGGACAAATAAATGGCAGATGGATTTTAATTATAATAAATGAAAAATAATGCATGTGAGTTATCATAATTTGAATTATAAGTATAATTTGGATGGGAATAATCTTAACAGTGTCATGAAAGAAAGGGATCTTGGTATAATGGTTGATCAGTTTCTTAAGCCATTCAAGCAGTGTGCTGTTGCTAGTGGTAGGACAAATAGGATTTTTAGATTGTATCTACAGAAATATTGCCTAAAGAGGTTATAATTTCATTGTATAGGTCACTGGTTAGGCCACAAGTATGGTGTTCTGTAATGGGCTCTTAACCTTAGGAAGGACATTGAATTGTTGGAAAGGGTGCAGAGGAGGGTTACTAGAAT